TGTTTGTAGTTGGTAAGCTATGTTCAGTTGTACTAGACCAGACAATAATAAAAACCAGTGGTACATATAAGTTGTTGCTATACAAGTGGCTTGGTTAAATAAGTTAATCGAAAGTTAATCAAATTAAATATTAGCGAACTCAAATGTATGTTGAGGCATTAGAGATGTTTCCATTGTAGTCGGTAAAGGATTTTGATGTGTTATCGTGAATTGACTGAAGTTAGGTAGATAGAATATATCATTCGCCGTCAATTGTCTGGAAATTAGGCATTCTCACGTGAGACCAACGCTCCTGGGTTCGATTCCTATCATTCATAATATAAAGTATCCTCGTATTTTATAATTTTCTACAAAACATCATAACGAAACGTGAACATTCATTCAAATGACCTTATGTTTTGTAGGTTAGTTATCGTGTTTCTACTTCTGAGATGAGTTCGTTCGTTAAGAATTTCCGTTTTTATATTCTTATTCATTCTAAAATAGTCATCAATGATTTCTTTTTATCATTTTTACTGTTTTTTAATATGTCTGTTATATACACCTGAAAGTTAGTCGTCATTATGTGTATTACACAATTATTTTCCTGAACTTTTAAACGATAGTTTCCTTCTTTTGCCGAAGCTCTCCTTTGCCAACTAGAATTTCAATATTTCGAAGAAAGAATATACCCTTTATTTAGGATACACATTGCTTTTTCATAGTATTATGACTTTATTGAAGAACCATCCATTATTAATAAAATAAAAATGAGATGAAAACTATTTGACTGTTTTTTGATGTGTTAAAACTACGAAAAATGTGATTTTTCGAAATTGTTTGTGTGACATCATAGTCAATCAAAAGATTATGTGTATATAGGTATATAATTCTCGTTGTAACAACTTTAGATAAGTAAATTGTTGGGTTCATCACTAAGTATGCTTGAGGCTATTACGAGTTTACCTTAGTCGATAAACGCGAACGAGACAATTACCAGCGTCCAGGTAGGTTACCTTGAATACCCAAATAAAGTAAGAAGGCTTTGTAAGCGTAGAAAGTATATTCTACAAACACCCAGCAATCACAGTACAATCAAGCATACAACTCTTGTTTATTTATACATCATAGAAACATCCTTGGAACAGTTAAGAAAATAGCACACTAAAATACACAGCAGCCAATCACGGCCATGGATTTTCCTGGTGGGAATTGAAACCTCAAGGTCAACTGATCAGCCCATGCTGGCAAACGTGAAAACCAAAATAAGGCATTTATCAAGCGAGTTTTGGGGATAAAACATCCCCAACTGTATTTGTACTATGTTTCTATTGCGAAACATTCATTTCTTTATGATAAAATGAAAGACAATTTATAGTTGGAGCTTCAAAGATTATTGATTGACAAACGGAAAACCGAATGAAATGGAAATGCACTGAGTTTCTTTCAAGCCTGTAAATTTGTAACAGTCGATAGATACCGCCTACTTCATGCTGGATTGAATACCAAACCTCGAGGTCGCGTTAATTAAATTAATCATCTTTAAACCGCTGAGCTTCAAAATCTAGAGACACACAATTGAATGCATGAACTTTTTTTATACAATGGCGTCATCTTGTCATCGCAACTATCTTACATTTATACGGTATTATTAATATTTCTAAATTATTATCCTTTCTAATTCTATGTACATGTGAAAAATTTCTTTGTTTAATCAACAATGACTTTACCAGCTAGATTGTATCAAAGTTTTGTTAAATTCCCTTGATGAATTTTATATTTTTATTATATATTAAATATTTATCTTCTATGTAATCTTGTTAAAATGATTTCTTATCAACATTTTGTACACAGTATACATATTTTTAAAATCATGAACTGTAGTTTCTTTCACTGTCAGATAACCAACTAAAACAAAATATTGAAGAAATAGTGGTTAGTGTATTTTTGTATATTATTTTATGGAATAGTAAAATTCCAATTATGTCTAGTTGTATTCATCTGTTATTGATATTTTATCTTTTCCAGGTTTCTGACTACTTTCTAGACACTCAGATATATACTACTCATATATATTTATATATATGTCCGAATTTCTGCCCTTAGATACTCATAACACAGACTTTTACTGATTGTCACCATGGTTATTGAGTTATTACGAGCACAAATATAGGTATGTTAGAAATTTAGATTACTTCAAAAGTGATATTACTTGTACAGTGATTTAAGTAGACATTAACGCTCAGAATAATGATTAAATAATTTTTATTTTATCAAAAAAATGAACATCTGACGGTTACGCATAAATAAAACTCATTTCTATTACAAACTGTCATATGTAAACAGATGCAATTAAAGTATTGAGGTTGCAGTTAGTCATCGAGTATATGCCTAACAAAGGACTTGACCATTCTGATGGGAGACGTAAATGTCAAGGTTGGCATAGACAATAGTGGAAATGAAAACATCATTGGACAACACGGACTGGGAGAAAGGAACGAAAATGGTGAGAGATTTGCAAACCTGTATGCCCTCAACAAATGCACAATCGTGCACGGAGGACAGATGACCGAATCGTTCGTGGTGAAGACGGGTGTCAGGCTAGGTTGTTCACTCATACCCTATGCTCCATTGGGGGTAACAGGCGCAAGTGAGTCAGTTTTTTACACAGAAAGTACAAACGATACCTATTGGCAGAAATCAGAGTGTTCAACAGTCTCTGATCAGTAAATATCGGATTATTAGCCTGATTAGTGGGTATGACATCAATTGCATTTAAAACCGGAAACATGATTATTGTGGTGCAATCAGAGAGTGGATCAGTTATGTCTGCAAAAAGTAAATGAAATTCGTATACCTTAATTTACTCAAAACAGCGTTAACAATATAAAGTTGAGCATATAATTAGAAGATACTTTTCTCTACAAATTGAAATCATTTGAACAACCAGTAAAGAATTCTTTTATCTACGTGTTGAACAAACTTCAGTAAGACTCGCTTACCATCACATAGTTGATTAAATTTATAAACTGCAAATTAAGCTGTGTAGTAAGTTAGAATTCAACTATACGCATACAACCTGCGATGACATCCTTCATAAATGGTATTGCTATGCGACAGAAATTATATTCATGTTTAATGCAACGTTTTAAAACACCAATAGGAGTTAATAACAGGCGAACAGTATGAAAAACTGACTGCGGTTATAACTGTCAACCACTGGATGCCAGCTCAGTGGGTTATGGATTCAATATTATGGTTACGATCTAACAGTGGTCTGGTCCAAGGATTCGGAACTGTTGCCATAGCTGAAACAGGTATTCAGTGCTTCTAGGATTTTAAAGGTAGTCTAACTCAGATTGGTTTATGATTGAAATATAATCCAACAATATCCATAACTTTACACAGACATGTCATTTTCATATTTTCATATTGAAAAGTCTATTTAATTTTCAATTCACGCACTTTTCACAAACAATCATTTCGCGCATTTTATTTTCTTGAAAAAAATTTAATGATATCTAATTTTTGGAAGAAAATTACAAGCTCACATAAATGCACAAAACACAATTCAAAAATTATAATAATATTATGAAAAGCATTATAAATTGATCAGTGTATGTGTATACTGGCAAGTTGAAATTAGAAATTATTTAGAAAAGAAAAGTAATATTTCGCGAAATTAATCAATTGTTATGCAGATATTATGATTATTATTATCAATATTATGCAGATAATTCACCATAGAAAATTGTACAATTGAATTTTTAAATATAAAGAATTATTTTGATAGTTCAAACAAACTGACACATTAAAATTTGAATAGGAAAAAAAATACACAGCATCAAATATAACTAATAGAGAAAAAAGAAAAGCATTGAAATGTTTGTGAAATTTGTAACAATCAATGATTATTGAAATTTTCCGAGCTTATAAGAAAAGATTCAATGTGGAATCGACAGTTTGCAGTCATTTTATAGTAATTTTTCCTACACGCGATTCATTGATTAGCTCAGTTGACATGTACACTGATATGCAAAAATAATAATAATAATAGTAAATAACAAAAGCACTGAAATGCATGATGAAGAACAAAAACTGCTACAGACTGAGAGAAATGCATATGAAAAGCATACAGCAAGTTTATTGTAATGTTTTTTTAGGAAAAACATTGTCATTCATTTGGAAAAGTGCTGGAAAACCAGAGTAAATAATATTAGTAATAATAACATTCAGTTTATTTTCATAAAAAAAACAACCGACAACATGACAATAGATAATAATAATAATACAGAATCATAATTATTTATACAAAACAAAAAATTGGAATGTAAGCCATATTAATTTTTTTCATAGAATTGTATAATCGGTTCTTATCGTTTAATGACCTATCGACAGGTTGTCACATATACATTGAAAGTAATCACAATTTCATATATATCAACAACAATAATTAGAATTCCACAGAATTTTCAAACAGAACTATTCATTCACTGATAAACAAAGTTGTTCATGTGTGTGTGTGTGTGCTGTTTTGTTCTCTCTCCCGACATTGTTCTTCTTGTCACCAGTACATGTTCATAATAATAGATAATTTTAGTTCATCAGTAAATCAGTCAGTACATCATGGACACAAAAGGTAAAGCAAAAAAGAACGAAAAAATAAAATAAAATTCATTAAAAATATCCTTCTTCAAATTGATTACATGTGGTAATTTTTTTTTACTTATTTTTATTTGGTATGTGTGTGTGTTTTTCTCATGTGAAATCATGAGTGCAGTGAATATATGTATAGTCTTTTCATTAGTTTGCATTGACAATTTTAACTATTTATAATTGAAATAATATTGTTTAGAGCACGCGGAATTATTGCAATAAATAGATATAATGTTCTTTTATCATGATTATAATAATTATTATTATTATTATTTTGGAATGTTCAACACGAAACGCATATTTGTTCATTGGTTGAATAAATTTGAAAAATAATGTATGACTAGAGAATTTGTTGACTGGAATAATTTGAACAGTAGTGAAAACACACTTAAACAGCTGTTTCCCCAAAAAAATATATTGCACATTTTAGCAACCGTGTAAACTGAAGCAGTGATAAGTTTTCATAAAGATGGAAACATTGTATCATACTTGTTTCATCCAATATTAGTGTTTTATCAGTAATTACTTTTTCAATTCAAGTTTTGCTATGAATAAGAAATTTTATTGAGAAAAAAAAAGTGATGTAGCGAAATTTGTCAAATTGATCTGTTGATTATTTAGTATAAGAATCTTTTATGGAGTTAAGAGGAAATGATTTTTGTTGAAATGTGCCCAGCATACCTTGATCATTTGATTGTTTGCCTGGAAAGAAAATATTGAAAAATCTATGATTATTATTATTATCATAAATTTTAACAATTAGAATAATAGTGAAAATTGAAAATTTTATCCGGTAGATTTGAAAAAACTTTGCAAAATGATTACCATATGATGTGTTCTTTAGAGGGAATAGAAGGAAACTCAGAGCACTAAGTTACTTGTTAGTTGGCGCTCATTTGGGATATTCCTAATACTTATGCTTTAATTGCAATTGAAACTTACGCTGTTGAATTACTTAAACCAGTGGCCCCATTATAACTCTATTTATTGGAGTGAATCAGTATTGATAATCAGTCACACATGGTGTGACTAATTACTCAGCTATCAGCCAGTGTAAATATCAAAATAGCTCATTAGTAAAGCTTGATATAATAATAATAATAATAATAATAATAATAATGAGTTTGAACTATACGGGAAGAATATATTTCCTGGATATTTTAAATTTACAACGTAGTCATTCCACAGACCACTTTCAACGAAGAAGCATAGCAATCACACAAAAATCATTTCAGATGATGTGCATAGTTGCCGAAAATTATATTCACTTGTTCGTGATATCAAATGCAAGGTTGAGTTTTGTCACTTAGTGCTAACCCACAATAAGTTGGAACACTGATTTACATAAGAACTGAAATTAGTCAATAACTCAAATGTAGAGGAAGGAAGCGAGCGAACATTAGACAAGAAAGTTATGATGATTCTTGATAAGTGATGACTATCAAGTAACTAGATTACCATACACATCTATTCTTTTTATCATAAACTTTCGGATGACTAAATAACCACTAACATACTATTCTCTATTTTTAAATTAGGGAGTTTCGGAGATCATTGTTTTGCATATTATGAAAGATCATAAAATATGCTCACTAGTGACTGGCTTCGTGAAGAAATCCTCAGAGTCCTAGTGAGACGTCGTGATCAGTGGAGTTAAACTCTGTCGGGTGTAGGCTGTAATTATCGAAGAAAATGGACGAGGTTGCGGAAAAAACTTTAGATTATTCAAAATTAGACGTCGCCGGTCCTGGAATTAAGCGTTTGCGAGTAAGACTGAAGATCTTGTGTTCGATTCCTGCAAGTTGCGGGGGTCGTGAATGCGCACTGCTGATGAATCCAATACCAGGACGGAACGCTCGTCTAATGCTTCCAAGTTTTCAGTGCTGACCTAACGATGGTTGTTTCGCACTATTTTTTGATTTATTCTCAGTCAATTAGTTACAATCACCCCCATTCATAGCCATATATTGATTTTTTTTTCATGTGTAATAGTCACTGTTTATTTTATTTTGTGATGCGATCTGGTCAGCTTGTATACAAACTACGTCTGAGATAGTGGAAAAAAATTGGATCTGAGGTGGATGATTGTGGCAGACTTTCGTTCTCTGAGTTGGATGTTTTGGTAGTGGAGTTGTCATTGTTCTTCTGAACATAAACTGGGTGCTGATTTCTGAACTCACGGGAGAGCACAGAGAATAGCTTATGAGTATTGGATAAATAATAACCAAGCTTCTCACTCAAGAATAATAGTGCTGAGCGAACATATAATTAGCCAAGTCAGGGACATTATGTATGTCATAGAGTGAATAGTGGATGCAAAATACACCTACTTAAAGTCAAGATTCTGATTCGCCGTTTGTTACAGGATTTTTGTTAGTCGTCAAAACACATTACAGTTGTAACCGGGAATAAGTGAGTTCTTTTAGTGATATCGTTTTTAATGTTGTACGAATTTATACAGTTTTACATGAAGTCAGTACCAAAGAAAATTTACTTACTACAGTCTAAATGAATAATCTAACTGTTTCAATATTCAGATTATTGATTTATTATTCGCAGGACATATTTACATATCAGCAAGACCGGTCTCAGTGAAAACATCGTTAAAATATGGAGATGCAGCTTCTGAAGCGAAAATGTTATATATATTACTAATTTGTCAAAGGTACAGCTCATTAAGATGGCAATATTATACACGCCATCTAATTATGTCCAATATTTTCAGTACGTAGATATCAACTACTTCGGAAGTACTGTTTTGTTTTAATTAGATTCTAAGAAATATTCAGTCCAGCTAATAAACTTCCTTCAATAATCCCATTGGCAGTAACGTATTTCCGCTATAACTATTTGTTTTTTTTCATAAAAAGCTTTTATGAATAAGAATTTAAATGTATTTTTTTTTAGTATATAAGACTTTTTATAAACAATATTTCATTAGTCAGATTGTATCTTTTCATGTTTCATTCAAAATGGTTTCTTTATGTTTAAAGTTTATTCATCTGCCTAGATTAGTAATTACACCTTAAAAAGAATAACAGCTAAAGTTATATACGTGTATAGTTTTACATGAACATGTATATATCTATATATATTCTGCTACAAATCCCTCCTGTCTTTGATTCTACCAGATGGTAGAGATAAGAGTAATTATCTAAGCAAATTAAACAGAGGAAAAAAACATAGTTGATAAGCGGTAGTAGTGATATGTACCGAATTGTATGATTATTATTATTATTATTATTATTATTATTATTATTATTATTATTAATAACAATATTAGCCTCCCTGGGGATAATAGGATTGAATTAAACAAACATCTAGCATTTGTTTTTTTTAATTATATATCTTTATGTATATGTATTTACATATATCTATCGATGATACTTAGGCACATGAAATAATACAATGACATTATTAAGAAAACTAGTTACATCTGGCATTTATATTTATTAATATTATTATTTTTTGTTTAGTTGGTTTAGATTATTGAGTAAAATTTTCAATACAAAGAAATAAAGATAAGATGAATTTTGTGATATAAGACTTAAATGAATCCTGTTTGATTTCATTTACTGCATAAATGAGTAGCGTGTATTTTCATTTTTTTTTCCTAACTAACATCAAACTATTCCATTAGGATAAATTCTGTTCAATGTTTTCATCAACAGACAGTTAGTTGACTTTGTATAGTCGGCAACATTTCAAATTAAATGGTAAATTCTAATATTCAATGAAATAATTTGAACAAAACAATGGCGCATTTTTATTCAAGTAAACGTGAATCGATAAAAGAAATGTTTCCATGAAGTAAATTGTTCATTCTAGAGGAATTAATTGTATCCTTGAAATGATAATAGTCATCATGTAAACTTCATCAAAAAGTTAGTGATGTTACGAGAATTCACTCTTAAAACAAAGTCACTTGATTGAATTTTTAAAAAATCACTGGGTATAACAAAATGATAACATAACATACTAACCTAATAAATTGTTGCTAAAGTCTACCGTGCTTCATAAAAAGAAAGGCCTAACTGTTTTATTGAATAGGTAAGGCGTTCGCGCGGAAGATCGAAGGTCCTCATTTCGAATCCTGCGAGGTGCAGGACTCATGGATGCGCACTGCTGTTGAGTCCCATACCAGGACGAAACGGTTGTACAGTGCTTCCAGGTTTCTAATGGTGGTCTAACAACGATTGACTGGTGATTTTAAAGCGCAACAAACACTAATCTCCAAAATTATATATATATATATATATATATATATATATATATATATATATATATATATATATATATATATATATATATATATATATATATATATATATATATATATTGTTCAAAATAACGAATAAAATGTTCCATTTGTCGTAAGCTGATTGAAAGCATGGTCTTTTAGTGTAGTCTAAAAAAGCATCTGAAATTTATTCTCAACAATTTACGTTCAATAACTAACAATTAGTTGAAAGCCAAATGAAACGGTAGCTTTTACAATGTTTTTCAAATTTATTTTTTCTTGAAATAATATGAAACTGCATATTCTTTAATTTATATAAAATATTTCCATGTCATTAGAAACAGTGAACACTGTAACTTTTTATGTAAAAAAAATGAATTTCTTTTATGTTGTGCAGAAAAAGCATATTTCTTCCTGTTGTATAATTTAATGTTTAATCTAAATTACAAATTTTTGAAAGAAGTATTTTTTCTCTACAAAAAGTTGAATCATAAAATATACAAATACATCGGTTGCAAAATTTAAATTTGTTGAAAGTCACTTCTTGTTGTTATAACAAGAAAATTTTGTTTGTATGACTATACAGTCGAATTAACTTGGTACTGACTTATCATCAGCTCAAGTATTAATGAGAAACTCCTAACTATTAGGTTATCAAAACCAAGACAACAGGACATCAAACGTTTTTACATGTACATTGGAAAATATCATACTTATTCAGGATAAAATAGATATTATTGGAATATTTTTGCATTGTACAATCTACTGATAGACTGCGATCGTTAAACCTCTTTTGATTATCTCATGAATTTACAATAGAAGCATCAGTTTGTCTCGAAATGTTCACGAGTTCTGACAAACCCTCAGTAAAAGTAAAATGACATCATGAAATTCACTCGTGATTGTTTCGAAATGAATCTTAAAATTTACATGATTTCAAACTAATTTTGGGTGGAAAATGACACACGATGCAAATCGAATTAGAACAGTTACTGAGAATTTTTCTTGGAAAATATTTCACTTACATGTGTTAATCCTTGGAAGACTTGGAAATACCAGACCAGTTGTTATATGACTAGAATTTTCTGTAGAATATTTAAGTGTACTTGATCGAAATTTTTGATTTTTCTTTGATTGATTGATTGGAGTTTCTAATGTAGTGTCATTTAGTAGTTTTTCATTTCCAGCTGATAAAGATGTTATCGGTGTTGTTGGTGTTGTCAGTGTTGTTGTTACTGTTGTCGGCAGTGTATTCATCAGGTGGATTTGATTAGAATTCTCTTCATCACTTGCACCACGACCACTGTCGGATCTTTGTTCTTCACCAATAGTTGAATTATGAATACGTGGATCTTTAACAATACATTCACCAATAACTGGAATGTTCTGACTAATATAATTTGGACACATTAAACTAGGTGAACTGTAATCAAATATTGTCGATGTGTTATATAATGAATTTGGTGATAATGAATCCGTTCTGTTTTGTTGTTGATAATAATATGTTGAAGAAGCCGGTGACGTTTTCGAACATTGAACAACAATATGATCTGATTTGAGATTAGAATCATTTGAAGATACCAGAAAATGTGAGTTGATTGGCATTGCTGGTGGCTGAAATGTTGGATAGTAGGAATGAAAGTGTTGCGGTGAATATGTTGAACACCTTGAAGTCACATTGAACAATGAATTGTTTGTTGTTGACTTGTGACATTCATGATTTGGATATTCCAAATGAAGATAATTCAATTGTTGTTGTTGTTGTTGAGGCGTCTAATAAATTAAACACATTTATATACTGTTTAAAGCATTGTTTTTCATTAAGTTATATATGTTGCTGATAAAGAAATGAAATCTGTAATGGATACCATTATTTGATTATATTTAGTTTTAATTAAATCAATTTTTGTACAATATATTCATTTAATCCTATTGAATTGAAAGTGAAATCAACCTTAACTATCAATATTCAAAACACTTGATTTAAAACAGACTAATTCAAGTGTCAATAGTTTCCAGTCGAATTAAAATTTTTCATAATAACAATAAAGCATAATTCATTTTGTAATATTATTATAATAATATTTTCCCGGAATGCTTAAAAAATACATATAAGTAAATAATAAATAAACGAATAACATGCATCGTAGTACAATAGTAATTATTAGGCTATTGTATTTATAAACTCATTTTATAAGGTAAACAGGTCACATGTAGTATGAAGAACAAGTAATTAGCTTCAAGATGTAATTCATGGAGTTCTAGTTAGAAGTTGTAAACAGTTGAATTCAACTATACTCGTTGTGTCTCAGTTGATTGAAGTTAGACATGTACGCTACTGGATGCCTATCCAGTAGTCCAGAGTTCACGCGTTCGAACATCCTTGGCTCGATCGCCTGTAGTAGGGTTCGTGTATGCATACTGCTGAGGAGTCTCTTACAAGGAAGAAACAGGCACGGATTGCTGCCTGCTTTACAGTGTTGATCTGACTAAGATCGTTTCGTAATTTAAACTTCAAGAATTAAAAATCATTAACTACGTTTCTCTATTACAGTTTTAGCTTGCTTAAATTAGACACATTAAACAAATCGATACTGATTATTAAACAGTAGAAAGTTTGATCGCCTTTCGCACTCACTCATAACAACAGACAGGATATATTTTTAAATTACTAAATTTGTGAAGACTTCGTTGTTTGAAACTAATTTTCATGATAGGAAAAATATTTCAGATTAAGCACTATTTGAAAGACTAGAATATTGGACAGTGAATCCGCCTTAATTTCACATCTTTCCATAACTTTGAAATAGAATCGAATCCAATGTTTTGAAGTCATATGGCTAGCATGGTAATTTAAAATGATTGAGTTAAAATCTAAAGATTTATATTTTCGACTTTATTCAAATCGTGATGCGCTACGAGTATCCAACACTAAAATGCTATCCAGTTTTTTCACTAATACTCATTTTAATAAAAAGTCAGGGGTAAAAAAATCGATTTATTCACAGCTTAACATAAGTTAACTACTACACTTCTTAAATCATTGTTAAAAGTGTTATTTTTCACATCCCAGATCACTGAATTAAAACTGACTCCAGCAAAGTATGGGATGGTAATAATACACGATAACTCAGGGAAGTCTAGTGAGTAATATATGTCTCCTCGAATAAGAACTAAAATTACATTTAAAAAAATACTCAGGACACGTACATGTAGTCGAAAGTTATTTGAAGTATTTGTTGGCTTTTTCCCTATTACGTCACTCATTAATTACTAAGGATAAGACTTAATAACCAAGAACAATTTGTGAGCATCATATTACCTAGGTTTATGCGGCTGATAGAGGTCAACCGAAATTGAAATTGAACACCATTACCTAGAGATGTCGTGCTCATTTCAAAATCTAAATCTTATGAGCTAAATCCCGTTTAGGTTGATTAATGAATACTCATGAGAAATACTTGAATAAGATGAAATAATTGAGCTATACTTTAAAATACTATTAACTCACTGTACACTGCATTGAATTCACCGGTGATGAAGTATTTTGTATATACGATGTTTTACTGTTTGGTCGTATTACGCTCAACTCTTGTTCAACACCATTCGCATGGTTCATACATGTTGTTTGAATTGAAACAGTAGCTGGTGAACTGGCTGGATTATTATCAATATTATTATTATTGCTATTGATTTTAACATTATTATCAATTTGATTATTAATGCTAAACAAGCTGTATGGTGATATATAACAATTTTCCATACTTGATACTGTTAACCCGTCACAAGTGGTGATTGGTAATCCTTCTTGATAATGTTGACCAATCGACGGAAACAATGAACCGCATAAATTGTCAATATTTCCTATAGATGGATAACTACCCGGTTGATGATGATGATGATGATGGTGATTGTATAAATTGAAACCAGCACTGTCATAATCACATATAATTGGATTGAATTCTTTCTGCATACTGCTTAAATCATGACTGCCAATTGATTTTGAAGTATTTTTATTTAATTGATTTGTATTTCTTGACTTTTTGCATGGTTTAATCATACATAGAATAGCACTGATTAATAAAGCAGCTAGAAATGCTGATATACCGGATAAAATGATGACAATTAGAAATGTATGCGCTTCAGTGATTGTATATTTTGAATTGAATATAGAGAAATCGCGATTTTGTTCAGTTTCAGGTAATAACCAATTACCACGAGCTGAACTTGCTTCAACAATCAATTGAATAGTCTTTATAGAATAGAAATGAAACGAAGTAAAGAGAATGAATGTTGAAAACAGAAAATATAAAACAGTATAAACTGTTTAGTAAAATACTCTATGCATACGTCATTATATAAAAGGAAGCTTATTTACTGAATTAAGTTCGACATATCTGGCATGGTTTTAAAAATATAAACCTTAACAAAACAATCTACGGTCTTTGGATAATGTGTAATTACTTCTGCATAATATGAAGATGATAGCAATACTGTGAGTTGTCTTAAACAGTGAAGAACTACCTACCTAACTATAAATTTCATGATAATGCATTATGGTACATAAAGTTTAACAATGGTTGATTTATATGTTTGAGTGCGACATAAAATTTTACAGAAACGAACAGGATAAATTCCTCGTAAATTATCATAAGCATGATTATTAAAGTGGGGTTGTGGTTGAGATGCTGCAGCTCAGGTGGATGATTGTGGTGATGTTTCGTTCACTCAGCTGAATGTTTTGGTTATGGAGCTTTCATTGGTCTTCTGAACAACATCATTAACACAAACTTCAGATAGCAGAGAAGTATTCGAATTTCTGCGCGTTTTATCTTTAGCTTGTTCTGTTAACCTCGATCTTGATTGGTTGCTATTGACCTTAAATCTGTCTTGTTGTTTGCACCTTTGTTTTCACTGTATCCTCCTTGTTAGGTTGCGGTTACTAACGAACTCTAGGATGTATCTTTCGTCCCGTTTAGAACTCGTCAGTTAGACATACTTGCATCACGTCATTGATGTTCACATCAATCCGAACTTCACATCTTCAGTATCAGCCACTATGTTACCGAATCCGAATAGAGACTAACTTGCACAATGGACATGAATTTAATCTGTAAATGTTTGAACAATTACAGTCACTGAAATCGATATCTAGAATATGTAAATCCTTACGAATATTATATATGTTTAGGATAAGAATAATAAAGGCTTAAATTATTGTATTACGGGGTTGTGAAGATTGTTAAGTTACACATTTTTGAAACCATGAATCGATCAATGTTAGACCACCATTAGAAACCTGGAAGCACTGGACGACCGTTTCGTCCTGGTATGGAACTCCTCAACAGTTCGCATCCACGACTCCTGCACCCCACAGGATTAAAACTCAGGACCTTCAGTATTGTGCGCGAACGCCTAACCTCTGCACCACTGAGCCGGTATCTAATGGTGTTAATGTCTAACTCGATCATTTATCGTTTCACAAAAACAGAAGTAGTTTAAACGGCTTCAAAAACTAGACATAGGGATAACACTGATGAGAATTGTAGATTACGTAATAAAAGATGTTGAGACAATTGGATAGGGAAGAGTATATTTGAAGAAAAAAGGAGGAGTGAGGTGAAATGAGCGAACAGACAAAGAGTATGGCAGATAATAATGATAATAAACAAATAAATAAAGTTTTTTGTTAAGACCAATTCGGTCAAGGAAGAGATAAAAGTGTCGCAAATTTCTCAAAAAAAAGCAAACACAAAAACCTGTTTTTCTTCACTTCTATTTTCTCTTTAAATATACGCCTCACTATCCACTTATCTGAACACCTTTTATTACGTAATCTATTATTTTAATCAATGTGTTGTTCCAGTGTCTAGTTTTTGAAGCCGTTTGACCTACTCTCTATGATAAAACATTAATTTAAGCCTGCATTATTCATATAATAATGAAGCACAGCTGTTGTCACTTCATCAATTGGTATTTATCACATGAGTCATTGTTAACGAAAAGCTCTATACAATAGTAGTATCTGTTAATTTTTTTGAAAGAGCTCGTATATAGTTCCGAAAAATCATTTCTTGACAAACATATAGACTTCTCTTATAACCAACTACCTATTAATCAATGAGTTATATTATTCTCAAATTATTTCCCATTGGTACTAGTTTCTTTATAAAATGTTTATCATATAGGAATATGATTGTTATATTATTTAAAAAGTTACCTAACAAAAAAGAATAACATCTCATTTCGATTTTAACGCTAACATCATTGCTTTGTGATTGAATTCACTAGTCACGATTATGTTTTAAGAAAATTAATGTTTCTTTTATGTACACTGATTAATGGATGATTCAAACTAACTTTTAATTATTTACTCTATTGTTCTAGTTAAAAACTACTAATGATTTAGCAAATTCAAAGTTTGAGAAAGATTACATTCTCTGTAAATTAATTAAAACAAACACTCGATAAGTATTTTTTTTTTAATGATGTGCTCATTAATGACTATTTTTAAAAGGTGATTACAAAAGTTTTAGTCAGAAGCCTTGTCCAATGGAATTCAGCAAGGCCACTCAAGACACAGTATTCATCAACAGGACTAGATGTCACAAACTGATAGAAGTTAAATGTATGACCCATAGTGACTTATTTCAGTTGACTAAAGTTTAAATGTTTGCTGCAAAACCAGATGGTCCTTGGTTTCGACCCTTGAGAGGGAGTTGTGAATGTACACTGCCAAAGAGTCTTACAGTAGGACAAAAATGATTGTCCACTGATTCCTAGTTATTGGTAATGATCCATGAAAAGTTAGTAAACTATAGTATAGTAAAATATCGTATTATCTAACTGTTTTCTAATAAAATGCAAAATTTAGTTGTGTTAATGAACAATATCAAACCGAACGTTATGAATTCTTCACAAAATCTGGTCAATTCAACATGGAAGTCTATCTTTTCTTTAAATTATTCATGCTCAGAATACTATTATGGAAATCTAGATAATTTCAATAAAAATAAATAGAGTCATCATTTCAAACATAATACAATGGATTTATTGATCTGAAACCAAAAAAACTTTCTCAAAGATAATATTTTATTCATTCACCTTTTCTGCCCTCTGAACCGGTTCTCCATTATCTTCCACAGTTATTACCATTTCATATGAACCAAGTTCGTTTAAATTCAAACTTCTTGTTAACATAACACGACCACTAGGCTGATCCATTGTGAATGCATCAAGTACATTTTCGTGATTTAATCCTTGTTGAGCAATATGTGAATATTGACGTGTTATACCATAGCGTAGTTGAGCATTTCTACCTTCATCTTCATCGACTGCTTTAGCAATCAATACACAATAACCTGGTACTTCATTGTACGATACACGTACTACAGGATATTGTGAATAATTTACTTTGATTGGATTGTGTTTGATGGAATTTACTGGTGATTTTCGGATATCGATTGTTTCCGATAATGATCCGTTCAATAAAGTTTTGTTATTGTCAACTAGATTCATTGAAAAAAATGACAAGAATGAATTATTTCGGAAATAAGAACTTGTGTGGAGTACATTTTTACACCGACCATCTTAAAAACTATCATTCACCGACAGGTTTTGACTGATTTGATTGTGAAAGTGAGTTATCCTACGACGTATACTGACTGAAGATTAGTTGGTTTACACATACATACACATACATAAACTTTATTAACCCCGTATATATTGTGAACGAATTGATATTGAGTGTTATAATTTTAAACCGGTTTTAACAACAAGTTTAAATCATCAAGCTAATCAGTTCCAATTCGAAAACTAGTAGGATATTTCAAACTTCCAGTAAGCATCTTATCCATGATTGAAATTGTATGATTTATGTCTCCTTACTGTCGTCTGATAGAAAATAACTAGTGGTTTTAACCTACTAAGAATATCATAGTCTACTCTTGAAAATTTCATCGAACACACTTATCCAAAAGACGCATCAACTGCCTGTCGTTCATTACTACGCAGTTACTCTATATTCAAAATATATCTTCACCATTACCACCTTTATAAAATTATCTCCAGTGATTTGAAACAATTAGTCCTTTTTTTAAATTTTGATAGAACAACGAGAAGACCTAGTTGATCTGAAAATGTGATTCACCTGCGCTATACATTCCTAACAATCTGGTCACACATTTATGCTTAACATGGCATTTTATATGAAAATCAATAAAAGGTCAAATAAACAAAAGTTCAAATAAAGAGAAAGTGATATTTATAAACAAAGGAGTGAGAAAATTAACATAGCATAGAAAGAATAGGAAATTGTCAAATTACCCTAGGCCATAAAATGGTCTAAAGATTACCAGGGCAAAAGCAAGGTTATAACAAATTGTTCCTGTACACATAAGGGGGGGGTTTGAATTTACGAATAGCTAAGGCTTCAATGGACCTCAGAATTCGTCATTGAACGTTTCTATGCAATGTTGTAAAGGCTGTCTTAATGTCAATACTATGCCCCGTTTCACTTTTGTGTTTTGCTATTGAAGAATATGGCCTTCTATTTCCCACCTTTATCTGGTCATGTAAGATTAACTAATTTTGAAGCATTTAGGTACATCTTCCACAACCCTTGATTGTATTGAGCGATTACTCCTCCATGTGTATTTATCCACAGAATCATGTAAATGGATAAATGCTATAGGATGTAATGTAATCGCCTGAGCAATATCTGAGCCTATATGAAATGATGAGTTTAGTCCATTCAACTATAATTAGTTTCGCAGCATGGCTGCTTGTAGTCTGTATTAAGATCAAACTATCTGATTCCCTTCTAAATAGTAAACAGTTATAAACACTGTTCTTTTCCGCAGAATAATATTGAGGCTTTTGTCTTAACTTAGCATCGTTTTTGAAAGTATCTGTAGGGCATATTATTCTTGCTCTATTAATGAAGCACTTTATCAAACCCCATTTGTGCTACAATAGACAAAAACTGTCAAAAATTGAAATACTGTCCAGTCTAGGTTGGTTTCCTATAATGCACTGATCTATGAAGAAGTAAGTAATGATCAAATTACTCTTTTTTTAGACATGCTGTTGAGTCAAAGGGAGAATGGAACTATAAAACGACCAGTTTATAGAAAGCCAACTATCATGCAAAAAACACTGACTAAATGCTACACAAATCAATGACACCAGATATATTCTCACTTATTCATATAAATTTCACAAACTCACCATTTTTTTTTAATCAACCATGAAATTATATTTAGCCTAGTTTTTTTACTCTAACTTTTCAACTACATTCAATAATCATAAAGCATAAATTTAATGCTTACTACTATTCCAGGCAGAAATTAAGCGCTTTGTATCAATACATTAATACATTTAGAATAATAAAAGAATATATATCATGCTGATAAGTGATAAATGGCAGTGAAATTTATTTGATATATATATATATATATATATATATATATATATATATATATATATATATATATATATATATATATATATATATTAAAAGCAATGCTCTGATTGTTTTATAATTGTCGGCATAGTTAGTTTTGATAATGATGTGAATATAGTATACATTTTGAAGATTCAGTGTTATTCAAAACAATGTCAATATCAATATCAATGTAGCTATTCCAAAAGAAAGCCTTTCCATTATTGCATCATTCATATACATATATATATATATATGCTACATTTGTAATCACTTACAAAAAAAATTTAACTGATATTGATGTAATTCGGGCAAATAAATTATTGTAAATGTTTTAAATATAATGATAGTCAACAGTAGAATTAGTAATATTAATAGGAAACGAATATATACACAATATGCTATGAACATTATTTTGAAAGAATAAATTTATTTTATGACAATTATTCAGTGAAAATATGATAACTATTCATAGAAAAATTGGGGAAATGAAATACGACAAAAAATAACTGTATGATTTATTAAATAGTGGAAAAATATAAATATTTAAATGAATAAATAAATATCAGTCAATAGGGGGTACATAGATTTTGAAAATCAGTCGACTATTCCAGGTAAATTGCTTCATTGTGAACACGAATTCTTATTGATAATCAAACGAATCGGAATTCTGGTGGAGAAATTTGCTTTACAGTAAACATCTATGTTTGATGGTGTCGGACTGCTTTCAAACAACAGGATAGAACTGAGTTATTATTCTGTTCTTAACTTTATTAGTGCTTTATTCACTAGTTTATAGAAAGATTAGCTGTTTCTAAATTAAACTAATTATTCAAATATTTTTCAAATATAACCATGTCAATTTGTTTAAATGGATTTTATAGGTCCGTTTCATCATAGTTTCATTGAGATCATAAAGCTGTCAATCGACTCTGGTTTTGTCCTATTATGGGACTCATCAGCAGTGTGTATCCTTGACCTCCTCAAGTGGGAATCAAGCCCATACTCTTCAGTTTGCCGCAATGACGCTTAATCTATAGATCACTGAGCTGCCATCCAGCACGGTTGATGTATAACTTTAATCAGTTCACGGTATTGTGAGACCTCACCTATTGTCTTGAGTGGACAACTGCCCCACACTCGACAGTGTTGTGACAGAGATACTAGTTAGAGAGATTTTCAATTTACAAATTCGATTGGTTATTTTCATTGATGTTTCAAATACAAACAATGAATTTTTTTAAAAATCTACTAAACAACAATAAACAAATAAATAATTGCCACAAACAATCAATCTTACTTTGTTCAGCACCTTTAATTTCAACAAAATATGGTTTGTTATCATTCAAATCCAGTACACGTACACAGATTGTGTCCGCTGTGGAATAGGATTTCTCCAAGCCTTTATCTGATACAACCACTTCAAAACAGTATAACGACTAAATAAAAATGAGAAATGAACAGAAAAACAAAACAATGACATGAATTTTTAAAAAAAAACTTGTTAAATCGTATTCAAATCATATGAAGTTTATATTCTCCTAATTCCTTGCCCTGATTCACCTCGAAAGTTTAATCCTGTAATTAAGTAATTGGTATGCTTGACTGATTTAGCTCATTTCGTTACTCAAATATTTTAAATTTGCAGTGTTTTTAACTTTGAAAGTTTCCATGAAAATATCTCACGTAAAAAATACCTTAAAATGCGTGCTTTTACAAACTTTGAAAAATTAAAAAAAATTTCTATCATTTAAGTCAGTATATCGTATTAAATAAGATTTAAGATGTAAGATAATCCATTTGTCAGAATACGGAATAATAAACAAGGTTTCCTGCCCACCATATCTAGCCACCAGAACGAAAGCCATCATCCAGGAGATTGAAGTATTCATTAGCAGTTGTCTACAAAAAATGATTCGGATTCGTTGGCCAGACACGATCAGCAACAACTTACTGTGGGAGAGAACAAACCAGATTCCAGTGGAGGAAGAAATCAGGAAGAAGAGCTAGAAGTGGATAGGACAAACATCGTGGAAAGCATCCAACTGCTTCACAGGACAAGCCCTAACTTGGAACACTCAAGGTCAAAGGAAAAGAGGAAGGCCAAGAAACAAATTACGTCGAGAAACAGGGAAAGATATGAGAAGAATGAACTAAAGTCAGCCAGAACTTGAAAAGCAAGCCAAGGACAGAGTAGGTTAGAGAATACTGGTGGGCGGCCTATGCTCCATTGAGGCTAACAGGTGTAAGTAAGTAAGTAAGTGTGTATTTAGAATTCGATTAACATTAAACACTCAGACAGTAATGGTTCAATTATGAAGACATTGTTCAGTTTATTAGAAAATTTTTTCGAAATTCACTTGTGAGTTATTATCAAAAAATTGAATGATCAGATATCAATAGATTTTCACAATGGAAATTTTTAATAAAAAACCTATTTTAAGCCCTCAGTACATCCGGTTATTAAAAAATATATATTCAGCAATATTTTATTAAATAGCAAGTTATTACTAGCTATTACTGCAGCCAAAATTTGAATTCCAGAATTTTAAAGAATACATGGTTTAGAACTTGCGTGAGGATTTTAATTTTTATTAAATTAGTAAAAATGTCTACACATTCAATATTTAATTATTTAACTCATACTTTTTGAATGCTTGTGATCCATTTTATTTTTGGCAAAGTAAATATAATATGTGATAAGAAAATGTTATTTGTTCAATCATAAAAGAGTCAATCTTGATTTTCTCCTTTTTTGCAAAAACATTTTCACCGCGAATCTTGTCATCCAATGAAATTACTGACGGTTACTTACAATCGTAAAGACTGACAAACACTACTTTTGACATTTCTATGCTCGTTAGATTGATATGCTTGAAACTGTTACGAGTTCACCTTTAATCGATAAACGAAAACGAGACAATGAATCAATGACGCGATAGGCTACTCTGATCCGTTGCCCCAGCTAACTGAAGAAAAAGTCTTGATATGGCGTGGAAAGTGTATTCTACAAGCACACAAGTCGCGTTTATTTATACATCATAGAAACTTCCTTGGGGGAGCTACAAAAACAGCGTACTAAAATAAAACATCAGCCAACTACAGTCAAAGATTTTCTTGGTTGGCAATGTAATCCCAAGTTCAACTGATCAGCACATGAATTGAATCCAAAATTAAGACATTTATCAAGTGAGTTCTGGGTATCTAACCTCCCCAACAGATATAACTTATAACTTACGATCATCAATATACAGTATAAATTCGATATGCAATTGAATTTTTATCACAAAAGTAAACAGATAAACTTTGATAGACAATTCTTTGAAATAAAAACACTCCATCTGTAAGAATTTCAAAGATTAAAAACTAAGCAGCTTCATGCTCTTACTCTACAAACTAATTCGAATCATTTTATGGTAACATTAATATAAATGAACAAAGATAAAATACATATGATCATAAGCACAACTCTATCTTCAGTTACATTTTTTAAATGTTTATTTGTGAATGTCAGTCAAATAAGTAAGTTACACATTTTTGAAACCATGAATCGATAAATGTTCGACTGCCATTAGAAACCTGGAAGCACTGGACCGCTGTCTCGTCCTGGTATGGGACTCCTCAGCAGTGTGCATCCACGACTCCTGCACCCCTCAGGATTCAAACTCAGGACCGGCTCGGTGGTCCGATGGTCAGGCGTTCGCGCACAATACTGAAGGTCCTGAGTTCTAATCCTGCGGGGTGCAGGAGTCGTGGATGCGCACTACTGAGGAGTTCCATCCCAGGACGAGACGGCGGTCCAGTGCTTCCAGGTTTCTAATGGTAGTCTAACATTGATCGATTCATGGTTTCAAAAATGTGTAACTTAATAATCTTCAAAACCCCGTAATGCAAATAAGTAAGTGTTTAAATTAATAGAAGTGAAATGAAGCGTGTATACAAGTATAAATTATCTCTATCAACGTAGAGAGTTTTAAGCTGCAGTTAAAATCAGATTGATCATTCTCGTATAAAGTCATAAATTAAATTATTCAAAATCACTAAATAATTGCATTTAATAACAGAGAAATAGAAAAAAAAAAACAATCTAATTCCAGGTAATTACTAAACGTTAAATTATCGCTTTCTTGTTGCAAAATATTGAAATTTTCTTTAGAATTAGTTACACTACTGATTTATTGATTCTTTCAAATTTTAAATGATTGATTGGTTTCATTGTGGTTTAGCAACAACTGTTCAGAAATGTATGATATTTTTATAGAAAGAGATTAAGTAACCAAAGCCCTAGGTAGATTGACTTGAAAATGAACACTCTTGCATCCAACAAAGTTGGCAACACACGATGCAAATTCAATAGCTTAGTTCATTATGATGTTTGAAAATGATACTGATGATTTCTCTATTTAGTATAACAACACAGAAACATACTATTATTCGTTTATTCAACCTTCAAAATCTATCTGATCAGCTTTGTTTTTTATGGCTATCAACCGATTTGATCTTGGAATAAAATATGTGGCCTATTTTAGTCAATGATTTTCAAATTCACGTGTATACATCTACTTACATGTCACAATTTGAATAAATCATCTGTTAAATGGAACATAATCCGATATTAAAAGGTACATTCAATACTCAGTCATAATTGGACAGTATTTCACAATTTAAATGCTCAAACTAAACTGCTAAGTGAAACATTGAAGTTATCTAAATTTTAAACAAATTTTCTTCTCATTTCAATGTATTATCCTCTACTGCTTTAAATAGTTTTGCAGTGAGAAAAATCAACTATAATATGCATAGCATGATAACAACTTCATGACTAGGACAAAAAAATTACAGTATTTTATCGAAATTCTCCAATTTTTCGCCACATGATATAGAATTCGTTCGTTTGTATTAAGTCTGAGCATTTTTATTTTTGTTAAAAAGAAATGTGTCTATTCCACTCACACTTAATTGTATGTTTCCTTTGTTAAAAAGTAGACATGTAAGAATATCGAAAATTAAAAATTAATTGCAATCAATGTGAAATTGATAGAGTCCTTACGTCAATACAGAAAATGATAATTCAACGACAAGTAACATTGAATGAAAATGAGTGATTATTACGGCTCACATAGACAATACATGAATAACTAGCTGGAGTGCACAAACTTACTTGAATAAGACCTGTAAAACATTAATAATTGGATAGGATGATACAACACAAGACGTTAATATCTCCGGTGAAGCACAGAACAAAGTGGAAACCTCGGATGGAACTGGAAGACCTGGTCCTCTTATATCACATACCACAACAAATTAAAGAGAAGACGTCAACTGTGGCAGCAGTAGGCCTCAACATACGAAAGACAGGAAGCAGAAATCTTAGATGCAACACAGCATGCACCAACTCAACCACATTGCATGGAGAAACTCTGGATGAAGCGAGGTAACATCACTGACAACCATGGTGCATCTGATACAGGTATGAAGGAATGGGTTAATAGAACAAGGATGGAATTTCTACAGCCAAAGAACATCTTGGACTCAGAACAACTGTCAGTCAATACCAAGGTCAGGCACCATCAACAGCAACCTATTGTGGGAGGGAACAAACCAGATTCCAGCTGAGGAAGAAATTAGAAAAAAGCTCTGGGACTGGATAGGACACACAATGGGGAAAGCACCCGACTGCATCACGAGGCAGACCTTAGCCTGGAATCCTCAAGGCCAAAGCAAAAAAGCAGACCGAAGAGCACACCGTGCCGAGAATTAGAAACAGGCATGCAAGGAATGAACAGCCTGTGGAAAGATCTAGAAAGGAAGGCCCAGGACAAAGCTATTCGGTGAACGCTGATTAGCGGCCTACGCCCGTTAGGCATAACAGGTAGGTAAGTATGATAAAACGCAATAGTGATTCCATGATATGAACTGCTTTAAATCATTCTGATTAAATACATAGATTAAAATCACTATTCTGATAGATACTTGCATAGATCTTTGCTAACGTTACCTACTTGATAATCATATGGAGAATTAACATTGTTTTTAAAAGACCTTATGATTATTAATTGATGGTATTTTTAAAGTTAGAGTATCCATTTATAACTGAATGTTCTTGTTGCATGACAGACTATCATTTTGGTGCTAAACTCCTTCTTTCTGTTGTTTAACCGATTATCAATCAGTCACATTTCCTTTGCCGCTAATTATTTCCGTACGTATATTCTCATTGTGATTGAAACTAGTATAAAACGTATTTATTTTCGTGTATAGATCAAAACATCCATCCTCTGGATTGACATCAACTATAAACTACTAACTATCCTAATAAAGTCATAGATTATCTATGTTCAATTCTCATAAATAAGTACTTACCTGTTTTTCTCTATCCAATGATTTTGTAGTAAATAAACTTCCATTTTTAAATAATTGAATCGGTACACTACTATGCTGTAATGTATTGTCATTAATTCGTTTTGCAGTTTGTTCAATAGTATGATTATTATTTTTTATTCTACCAGATAATAATTTAAATGTCACTTCACTATTATTTCCTTCATCTCGATCGATAACTTGTAAATCACCAATCCATTTATGCGGTGCTTGATTTTCTTCTACAGCAAATTGTCTTGGACCACGAAATTCTGGAGCGTTGTCATTTTCATCTATGATATGTATAAGTAGTTGTGTTGTAGCTGTATGATAAGTTTTCATCTGACCAAAAGATTTATGCAATCTAGTCATATCTAATGTGTCATATCCACCGTCAATAGCTAGAACAGTAAGCTGAAATAAAAATAAAGCTTTATCTTTTAGAAAATTTTAAGTTAATTAATTATGTCAGATGAATTTTTAAAAAAAAACAAAATATATAATTAAAGTGAATACTTTTACTTCTGTGGAAAATTGAACAGTGTTTAATAAGGAAAACACAATTAACCTAGAGGCTTGTTTTAACGCAGAGTAATTGAAAAATGATTATCAACAAATGTGATTAATCCGTATTCTCTCTCACTTTCACTCTCTCTCTATCTCTCACTATATATATCTATATGTTGTCATTAGTTGGTAATATGAAATTGAGAAATATTCAGTTTGACGTTGATAGCAAACATGATACATTTTTGATTTAATTATAACAATAGTTTGAAATGTTATTTTATCCATTTGTAATATGTTATTTTTAAAAAATGAAAAATTCACTGCACCAATCACGAGCATGTATCAGGAGAGAGATATCGTTTCTAGAATATCGGAAAAATGTGAACTCTAACATAATGATGAAATCGGTTAGTGGTAAGTGATTTGAATTTCAGTAATGTTTTCAAAGGGATATAATCACTACTATTTTTACCAATTAAATCTCAAAACCTTCTCATAAAAAGACCATGCCCAGCCGGCTTCAGGTAGTTGTCCCTCGGACTCTGCAGTCATGCTCACAGGTCTCTAGGACTTACACTAATCCAACTTCCTTCCCAGGTTCCTCAAAAAACACCCTTCCATGATGTGGGCAACTGGAAAGTGACATCTGACTTTATACCCATAACAGCACATGAGACCGAATTGGTCACAATCAAATCCTTACGTGGTATGGCAACCTGAACTGATGTACGTACGTACAAAGTTTTAAGTGGTGGCTAACTGATTGACTAGCCAATCAAGTCAAGGAATTTTTTAATTTTTGCAGAAAATTGTTTAAATAATGAATTGATGTTAAATGGAAAGAAATTGAAAAACAAAGGGAAACACTGGACAGCTCTTTAATCCTAGCTTAGGACTTCTTATCAGTGCTTCGATTGTCACAGCAGAAATGGCACTAAAAACTTTCAAAGAAAAAACTATCTTCATATTCAAATACTGATTTGTCTCATTTGAAATGTGAAATTGCGTGAAATGGGAAAATACCTACACATCAACAGATACAATCTGAATTCTATTTTCATTGTATTATTTTAAAAAGTATGATCACTATAATAATTATCTTTGATGACAATGATCAATAATCACGTTATAGCGTAAATTGACTAGATTTATTCACCCATGCTTTCATATATGTATCAGATACACTATATTTCACAATGATGTTGGCCAGGAACGTAAACGTTCCCGCCTCATCCAGAGTTTCTCCATCAAATGTGATTGGTTCGGTGCATGTCGTGTTGTATCTAAGGTTTTAGCTTGCTGCCTTGTGTATGATGATGCATAATGCTGCCACACTGGCCGTCTTCTCCTGAAATTGTTGTGGTATGCGGTATGAGAGGACCAGATCTTCCATTTTCTAACATCGTACTTAAATGAACCGCGTTGATGCGATGGCGGTAATAAAATGTCAAATACGGTTTTGCGGATGAACTTATTTCATGCAATCGTTCATGCAAACAGACATGAGAATGAAAAGCGTACAAGCAAAGCGAAGCTAAATGTAGAAGACGAGTGAGCTAACGTTTTGCGATGAAGCATATCTAAGTATTTATAGTCATTCCATAAAAGGCTAGATAAAGCAAGCATAATTTCCGCCTATTTGTTAACTTTAGACCACTGAATTGGTTCGTATATTTAAATCTAGTCAATTTACGCTATAACGTGATTATCGATCATTGTCATCAAAGTTAATTATTATAGTGATCATACTTTTTAAAATAATACAATGACAATAGAATTTAGATTGTATCTGTTGATGTGTAGGTATTTTTCAATTTCACGCAATTTCACATTTCAAATGAGACAAATCAGTATTTGAATGTGAGGATAGTTTCCTCTCTGAAAGGCTCACAGAAAGCATACAATTATAAGAATAATTTTATAATTGTATTCAAGTGCGTAAATTTTTCAGTTTTTCATAGGCCGTAAATGGAAACTAGAAGATTCATCAATTATCTGACTTTTAGCCTCACATTACAAATCATACATAAGTCAGACAACTAGTCGATATTCAATAACAATCAACAAAAATATTCGGATACATATTTCATGATGATTCTCATTCCAGATCACAGCGCATATGAAGTGTTTAGGATTCTTAAAGTCCTGAAGAAAGTTAGACGTAAGAGAAATTACTGTCATTTTATTTCATCTAAAGTCAACCTTAAGGATGATAGAAGTGTTTAAACAAAATGGTCATCGAGTAACAACACATGTACATAGTTCCGTCCAATTTGTTTTGAAATGGGTTTACAAGTATGTTACCAGAAACGTGTGATTTTTCAGCCAGACTAATCAATGAAATCTAGGTGGAGTTTTACAAAAGCAGATTACTCTTTGTTATCCTAGTTCACCTGATTCCAAGTACTACAGAAGTAGCTAGAAAAAAACAAAGACAAATATTAAATAAATTAGACTTTATTCTTCCTAAATATTTAACAGGTTAGATCACGAACTGCTCCTAGCTACTATCGAAACTCTGGAAGCATCGGGGAGCTGTTTCGTTCTAATTAGGAATTCCTCGTGGGAGCGCACCCACGGTCTTGAATGTAGGGATCAAACACAGGACCTCCGGTCTCACAAACACTTCAACTTTAGGATACGGTTAATGCAATTTTAGTGGTCTAGAGGTTAAGCACGTACATGCGACTGAAGATCTTGCGTTCGATTCTCACCTGCGGGATCATGGACGCGCACTACTGATGAGTCCCCTACCAGGACGGATCGGCCGTCCACTGCTTTTAGGTTTCTGATAGTGGTCTAACATTGATCGATTCATGACTTCAGTAAAACTAATTTGATAGTTTTAAGGCAATTCAGCATACAAACTAAAACCCTCCAAACTTTATGGTCATCCTGGTACTTTTGTCTTCCTATACACTCTCTAACTATTGCTACAATCATTATTATAATTAATTTACTATTGTACCTTTTTTCAGTAATTATTATCGCTTCCGCCACTTTGCATACCGTAATCATAACAGTCTGCATATACATTATGTTATACTTGATTGCATCCTGTTCTTTCTCTCACTTAATCTGTTTCAACATAAAATTGAGCTTGTATATGTTGAGAAAGTATATATAATTATGTTTTATTAGTGAACGAATCGATTTTCCGCATATTGCACACAAACATTTTATATATTTTTATAAATCAGTGTGTTTACGTGAAAGATTCACAGAATCAGAAATAAGATAAATTCTATTCATCCTCACGATATTTTCATTTTAAATTTATTTTTAAAAAAAATATATTTATATCCTAATTTTCGTGGCGAAATTCAGTCATTAAAATCAATCATTTCATTCGTTCAAATGGTTGTATTTTGAAAATTTAATTCTGTAACATGTGTCATGAATACTAATAACATGATCGAATATAAGAGTATGTGTTTTATGTTGTTCTGATTTGTGTGAAATTTTCATTTTCATGTGATCCTTTTTCTGCAGTTAAATAATTTTGTACACGTTTGAAACCGTCAATCAGTCATTGTTAAGCCATCATTAGAGACATGGAAGGACTGGACGACCGTTTCGTCCTGGTATGGGACTCATCAGCAGTTAGCACCCACGACACTTGCACCTCACAGGATTCAAACCCTTGACCTTCGGTCTTGCGGGCGAGCGCCCAACCTCTGGACCATTGAGCCGGCATTTCACGGTGTTAATGTCTAACTCTGATTGACCTAGGGATTCGTGGATGCGCAGTACTGATGAGTCCCATGCCAGGACGAAACGGCCGTCCAGTGCTTCTAGGTTTCTAATGGTGGTCTAACATTGATTAATTGATTGTTTCAAATGTGTAAAAACCATAATCTCCATAACTCTAATTGAAAAAAGTTAAATAATGGTACGATTGTATTCTTTCTACATATATACTGAAATCATGAACTACTCTAGTTTACTTACAGTAGAGTGAAATGATTTCATTCTGATAACTTTTTAAGCTTTAACTATTGTTAACGTAATCCACTGCATACTTATATGACAATAAGTTTTCTACATATGTATTCTCTAGGTTAGCTTGTTCTACGCAGAATTTATATTATCCGCTTGAAATAATTATTATCATTACTAAAATCACATGTGATGAGTTGTTTAATGACAATTTTTGTTGTACACTAATTTATGTGAACTGGTACATGTGTGTGATGGATAACGGCTTTATACTCAGGTTTCTTCAATGTTGAAACTTCCAAGTAAGGCAAACCTGACAAATTGAGAGAATATGTTTTGCTCCAGCGGAAAATACACAGTTCAAACTGAATGCATAATCTTTCACTATGCAATGGGGTTTGAAACACTCAGAGAGGTACATTTAATTGCCTTAAGACTATAAATAATAACTGTTCATGGTTATCCCCTGAATTCTATTGATGCTGTTTTCACCATATCGGTCACAGTGCAAACTTGATCGATTCAATTCTGTCTTCACTACGATCTAATGATAGCATACAACTTAGTAACGAATCATTATGAATAAAACATTTCTACTTATCTGTCTATTATTATTTTTACTAACAAAATCTCAACATATGTCCAGACTAAATGAATAAATGTACTGGGATAAAACCGAATTGAAAAAAACATTCAGATAACTTTTTCATTCGCATTATTCAGTACAATCCTCTCTCTTTGATATTCAATTGAAACAATACATATGACTCGTTAATTCACCTCAGTCAGTTCGTTTATATCTACACAAATATATATATATATATATATAAAGTCAATTCAACAAAAAATTCGTTATCTGATCTACATCACTAATGTTTTCCTGTTTGCGTTTTTTTTTGTTCACTATATTACTGTTTTTATTATTGTTCTTAATTAGTTTTCTTCTTCCCTACACTCTCTCAGCTTTGTTTTACAATTTTTTCCCTCCTACCTTATTGTTTTTTTTGCTGATTACTTTTTTTCTCTGACAAATAATTATCTTTTATTGTCGGTGATTGTAAGTAATATATATATATATATATATATATATATATATATGACAATGTTGTTTTATTCGAAAATAATTAACTGTTTGATCAATTGGTTGACTGTAGATGAATGTTTGTATACACGTATGTGTGTGTGCGTGCGCATGTAGATTGTTTGAAATGACAAAAATGATCCAGTGTGAACATTGAACAGTTTGTTTGTTTATTTTTTTTCGCATAAAAGTTGTCAATGGTTGACATTAATCGATGATTATGTTGTTGTTCTCATTGTTGGGCTTTTTTCCCCTCTACTCTCAATGATTCATTATTCTGATTTTATTTAGTGAAAAACTAAATGTACAACATTGAAATGTTTTTCATAATTCTTCAATAAACTAACTAGTGATGATTAATTTTTTTCAGAGATGAAAATAAAAAAATATTCTTTAAGGTTTGAATGTGGACAGTTCTAAACAACTGTGTAAACATTTACTGGATGAAGCCTAACTTGGAATGTATAAGTAGGCACATGATCATGGAATATTTGTAGAGTTGGATTAGTTTTTGCTTTAACATTTTCGTCTAATTAACTAGTTAAATTATTTTTTTTTTCAAAAAAAATATGCCACATGAAGATTAGTGATGTTAATATAATGTTAAGCTTTTTATTTACATTTAAAAAAAGTGTTTGTAGTTAACTCTTTGCTTTCTACTAACGAAATCGCTTGGTTTCTTTAAAAAAGATATATATGTATGTATATACCTCGGTTTGCTGAGTCGATTTGATTTGGTTTCTTGGAGAATGGCTGACATGGTTAGTGCAAAAACCATAAAGTTATCATTTAGAATTTTTCTACACTGTAGAAACCTCTCAATTAATCTAAGTGTTTTGATCGTTCCTGTTACCCTGTTGATTTATAAATATTAATTTAACAGGTAAGTAATTTTTGTCAATGTTTGAAATACTACAATTATGAATGTCCCGAATTTTATATGTTGAACTAGATCGCAAATTGAGTGAATAATATCAATTCACTTAGATTAGTAGCCACATTTCAAATTGATCGATAGAATATGAGTAGCACTGAGAACGAGACAAACATGACACTGATCACTACTCAATCGCTGGTCAATTGTAAATACCCTAGTCCTACAGGTCATTTTAAGTTTGAATAACCCAGTTTCTCACTGTAAAGGTAAGTAACCACGGTTCGAATCTTAAAGGGGGCATCAACTTCTTCGAGACTGCAGGTAGGCATTTTACATGGGTGCCAACTTGCAAAAGATATACCTTCAACCACTTAATATGGCGGAAGTGTAACGAAGGATAGCAAAACCTTACATGATAACGAATTTCAAGTGATGTATTTAAAAGAAATAATTATTTTTGGCTACAACGGGATGAATTTTAAAATTTACTAATTGTAAGATCCATTTTTGAAGGCTTTGTTTGTGAAAATCCCTCCATATTTATACGTTTGTAATTTGTCTTAATTGATTCCTTCAGTTGTACATTTTTTATTAGTCTGTTCAATTCCATTTTTCAGATGATAAAATTTGTATTTTATCATAGCTTCTATTTCTTTTGCCTTCACTAATTTTCTATGTTTCTTTCTGAACTGCGTTTATATTGTTTAAGCTGATACTTAGTCATGGCGACAGCCATATTGATTTGTTCCTCTTTTGATTGGATTGCATGCGCGCACAGGAAGTGTGCATTTTTATTGTGAATTGAAGCACTCTTCCCAAATAGGAAACATTCTGTGTTATAAAGCAACCAAATATTATCTTTCGAACGAATCTAATCTATCCAGGAAGGATAGAATATCATTTATCTGCTATGGATTTGAATAACTGAACAATTAATAGTGGTAATATTTGTTTTGCTAATGATGTACATTTATATTTATGGTGAATATTAGAGCTGTTATTTACCCAAATCACTTGTTTTGGTTTTAAAACTTGGCAAGGCGCGTTTCTAAACTACCTGGACAGTTATTCCTCAATCCAAACCTCAGTTTGGATCCTACACTAATTTTTAAATTAATATTTCTCATGAATCCAGATCATTTGGATGTACTTTAAACAGAGGCTGTAACTGCCCAATGAGATGCATGAAATCAAATCAACTTTATTTGATTAATAATTTACCTGAAATGTTACTTGTGCTTCACGATCAAGTTCCGCTGAATTGACAATCCATCCAGTAATTGGATCAATTTTAAAATACGGTGCAAATAGTTCATTCTTTTCTAAACTGTAATAAATTTGTGCATTCATGCCAATATCTTTGTCAACAGCATGCATCTGAAAAAACAAAAGAAATATTAAAATACATAGCAAAAAAAATAAAATAAAATAAAAGTGTCTTGAAGAAAAAAAATGAATGAATGGGAGAAAAAACCGATAAAATAATATTGCATTGTTTGCTTGATAAGAATTCCCGTGAGGGTTGCTTGAATTGAAAAGAAGAAGTGGGAAAAACTAGAAAAAAATAAAAACTGCCTGATCAAAAAATTGGCATTGTAAAAAAGGCGAATCGATCAAACTGATAGTTATCCTTTAAATAGTAGTATTATTTGATGAAAGTGTTTGTCAATCGTATGGTCATACGCTTAAAGTTAAAAAAACGATGTTTACGAATTAGGATATATTAGTTGATTCGAAAACAAAGAAGTGAAGTTGAGAATGATACTATGTTAGTTGAATGCTAGTATTAATAAGTAGCAGTGATTGCGATTGTATTTCTTAGAGTAACAGTAGGCTACTTAAGAGTTCTAGAAATTATATCCAAAACAAAATATCACCCAATGATTAAGAAGCATAAATACTTACCTATGTGTCCATCATATTTTCCTCTTACTAGTATCGGCGTGTATAAATTGGTAAGTAGGGAGTTTGAAAGAGACTAAGTTTGACTTAACTAGTCGAAGTGCTTGATAAAATATACACACAAAGAAGTAAGTTACAATGTAATGACACGTGAGAAAATGCTATTTCTTGCAAGTATCCATATAATCAAGTCATTATGTCCAGTTATAAGTTAATTTGAAAATGTACCTGCCATCTTCATGTAAACGTGGCTGAGCTTTATACCTTAATTGACTGACTTGAGTTATCTGGATAGAACATTTCTCGAGTTAATCTTCTAGATTCATTAGTTCTATCGCTATATATTAGTTAATCATTTTAAACGCTAAACCACTTCTTTATTAACTATTTGTTAACTTAAGTCTCATAGATATGAAACGCAGGTAATATATAAGTAGTAATTACGAACTATTTATTATTAGATTAACATTTAAATATTAGTTTGAAAACTTGCATTTCAGTACTGATGCATGGTCAAAATAACCGGATGACAATACCGAAGGTCCTGGGTTCGAATCCTGCGAGGTGCAGGATTCGTGGATGAGCACTGCTGATGAGTCCCACACCAGGATGAAACGGCCGTCCAGTGCTTCCAGGTTCCTAATGGTAGTCTAACATTGATAGATTCACGGTTTTAAATGTGTAACTTAACAATCTTCACAACCTCGTAATATAAATTAATATCACAAATTTTTTACTTTATATACTCGTTCATCGAAAGAATTATTTAACGTTGAATGCACACAACTTCTAAGGCTAGAAACATTCGAACCTGATGATCGGATTCTCAGATACATCAATCGTATGGAATGGATATTACTCAAAATCGTTTTAGCTCTGGTCAATACTTATGTATATAACGTTTGGTCAGTTATCCGAAAATTTTCAAGACAGTTCAGTTAAGCGTGTAGAAATGGTCTGCAAATATCCAAGAGAATATTCATTTAAGTAAGATAAAAACAAACGGTAATTAGTAGAAAATGTGCCTTGGATAAAACAAACATTTTAGTATTGATTTTAGTTTTTATAGTACCTGCCTTTATCATTTGATATTAAGCGTTTCATAAGTAAGCTGTATGGCTATAAAATCAGTTACTTCATAAGAATCTGAACTGCCAAATACCATTTTGAGTGGAAAATGTTTCTTCATCACAAGATGTCAATTTTCAGAACATTATCATTATAATTTATTTACATATGTAACCGAACGTAATATGATTATGTAACTTTTATTGTTATTGTATTATTTACTGAATTTTTTTTCAGTTTGGTCATGAGCAGCTATTTACTTAGAGGTGATTTGATCATTGATTTTCTTCCCTATTAGTTCAGTATTAAATAATTTGCTGATAAACTATAGTGTATGTAAATTTTGCTGTTCATTTTTTGAATGGTACGTTAAATAAGTTTTGGACCTTTTTGTAACCGAAAAATAGAAGTCGGTCAACTGCATTATGATTAGCATTTAAAGGAATAGACATATTTGAGATTGGTCAACTGTAAATATCTCTTTCCCTTAGGAAGTCAGCCAAGATTCAGATAATTCAATAGTAACGCTTTAGACCGTGAAACTAGAGACACAAGTACCAGATCACCAGGAGGCATCAGTTCCATAAAAGTGTGAGAAACACCATACTAATAAGTTCAAAATAACATTAAATTTAGGTCTGAAGTTGCCTGTCGACTACCCCAAACCACCTAGCGCGAGCAACAGTATGTAAGCGCTACCTAACGGCATTTTACAAGAAAATCAATATAGCAAGTTTAACTGTAATATAGAATAAACTTGATAAAATAATCAATAACTGATACTCTGATAGTTATCTTCGAAAATCACAGCTTCAAGTTAAGCAGGTATTCTTATTCTATTCGTTTAGGAAATTATGATCAGCATATGATCTAATGATGATTATTTTGCTACCGTGTGAAGTCATTGAAGAATCTTGAGAGAGATGAGTTACCTATTTGATCCCTTTCAATTATCAATGTCACTTCGCCTTATGCCAGTTGACAGAGAAACTAACTTTCAATGCATACGTCTAACAAAGATTAGTATTACAAAAGGTATGAATTATCCAGTTATTGATATTCAAAACCAAATTTTAGTCAGTTTTAGTTAGCTTATGTTTATTTTGAGTGAATTAACCTGATTTTATCATTTTTCAAAGATTTTCAAAATAAAATAAAGTGATGCGATTGATCTTGATATTCGCAACGCGCATCCCATCCTATTTGTAACTTGCCAACAGTATAGCTGTATCCCAGTATAGACTTGCATACCCGAGTTCGAAACCCTTACCTCTTTCTAACAAGTTCTAATTGTAATGAGACCTGCATTCTAGACCATACCCCTAACCACAAACCATCTATTCCACTCCATTCCGGTTACGGTCCATTTGCTCTGTCGATAAAAGATTTCGCAGAAATTATTTTTAATGATAAATCAGAAACAAATTGATGAGGTGTTTGTTTTTATTTATCGGTAGTTTAAACTGCTACTCACAGATTTCAAGTGAATCAACGTTTAGGTCACTTAAAACAAACAAACAAACAACGCTAACAAATGAATTTATTTTTAGATTTAAAAAAAAGTCGATTCATCAATCACATGTTTTGTTTTTTTGTACCATAAACTAATAATGTAAATAAATTTTTTTTATTTTCCAACAATCATTTCACAGAAAGAAAACACGACAAATAAATATCCACTTAAATTTCAACTTTGATTAAAAATGAACCTAGAGAGTAAGTAGCTGAAAGTGAGTTGGCTGCTTTTTTTCTTTCTAACACAACCTGAACAACATGAGGTCATTTTGTTCAAATTGACGGATGCATATTAGTTAGCTATGATGAATTGAGTTTTTTTTGACTGAACGAAATATAATAATACACTGAAGGGTTACAAATTGTTATTGTGTGACACTGAGGACAAATGTATATGTATTATCAGACCTTAGGTGCACATGTCTTCCTTGCCTCCTCATTCACATCCACATTGAGCAGTTAGTATAAATATGACCAAGTGAGAAATGAAATTTTCGGGTATTGATTAATTCTTTCTGTTTTACAGCATAATGTATGAATAATATATATAAGTCAGGCAATTTTTTAACTTGCTTTACCAAAAAAAGGTGTTTTCTATTAATCAACGTGTTTTTATTTCATTTTGAGTTATGAGTTAAATAACCAATAAAATCAAAGGACTGGTATAAAAATAATTGACATTTTTTTAATGATTACCGAAATGTTTTTTTTTTATTTGATTGTTTTGATGTAATGATGAAGAAGATTTATGGTTGAGGTGGACGCTACTGATGGGATTGTCTGATGAACTTTCGTCATAAACGAAAGAAAACTAATAGACAGATAGATTGTGTCTAGAAAGTGGAATGTAGGATACGAGTTTCACCTTATTCGGGACCTGCACCTCAGTGTTAATATTCATACTGCCAGTCATAATCTACCTGTTCTGTAAAACTTGTCAGGATGTGGCGTTGGACTTTCGTTATCTTCGAAATTCCCTATATCCGTCTTGATGATCGCTACTAGAGAAGACGAGTCGCTGGCACAATTTCTTTATTATTCAAAATATTTGATGATCGATACAAATATCGGATATAATTCAAATATGTATAGCCGATATTGCCATCGAATTGTTTAAACTGTTAATCGATAAAACTAGTCAAATAACTATATGTGTAGGTGGTAAGTAATACCCAAGCGTACATGCGCATACAAGCTCAACAATGATAAAAGTAGAAGATATATGTGTGGTGCTACAAGGGAAATGGTTCTATCGAGGTAATCTGCACAGGGTTGACATCCACCGTCAAAGACTGATTGAATTTCAGTCAAGAATATTCACGATGAAATAATCTACACCCTTTCTAATGATGATACAAAACTTGGTCTCACATTTGTGAAATAACTCGAAAATTTACTTCTCTTTAAAATGAGCACTAATGATATCGTCCACAATGATAACCAAAGTTTTGTGATTGAACCATTATTCTTAAATAAAACAACACTAAAATGTGTAGTAGGTTAATTTATCAACTCTCAAGTCAGCCGTCTGTTCTCATTAGGATTCGAACTTAGAACTACTAGTTCATTAGAACGTTCATTACAGATACGCGTTAATCCTATGTGCCGACTAACACAATTCAACTTATTTCACCCAGACTTTTCAATAGTAATTTGTAAACTAGTTAAGATTACTTCTTAATAGGTGTCTTGATAAATATATATATATATATATATATATATATATATATATATATATATATATATATATATATTAGATAATGAAAGCTGAAAAGAATTTTCCTTTTAAAGAAAACTTTTTTACAAATAAAAAAAACATTTTAAAAGTTTTATTTTTACAAATAATTTCGATTTATTTATGAGTCATAAATTTGCATTTTATTTTGTTACAC